CAGAAGCCAAGGGGAGAGGAAATATTAAAATGCCAGAGCTAAGAAAAGACATGGGTTCTCCTAGACGTCCCCCTCCCCCCACCAAATACTAGGGCCAGCCTAGTGTACCAGGACTGTCATCTCTACAGCTTCAGCCTCCTTGGGGGTGTGTGAGAAAGGAGGGCTCCAGTGGCCTCAGACTGAGGTTTGTGGGTACTGGTCACGAATGACAAAGCATATTAGCCTCATTGGAGGGTTGGTATTCCAGATAGTTCTCCCTTCATTCTCCTGTGACTGGGCTGAATTTGGTGAGGGGGTCGGAGGGGACCAAGAGCCTCAGCTGAAGCTGACAACAAATTCTTCACTTTTCACTCCTGGCTGCAGACAGAGCTCCTGCCTCATCGAGCTCAAGGAACAATTAGGGCCAACCAGTTGGAGGATCCAGATGAAACAGGTCCAAATACTCCTGGAGAGGCTCTTGGAAGTTGCCACCAATCAGGAACCCGAGGCCCCCTTTGAAGGGAAGTTGCCATGCTAATAAAGTGCTGCAGCTGCACTTGGTTCTCCCCTGCCCGGAGCCCGCTGTGTTCAGAGCACAGAGCCTGGCCCCTCACAGCCATCAGCCCCACCCTTTCAGTTCTGGTACTGGACAGTGGGCTCGCTCCACTTGCTGCCTACGCCCTTCGACGCTCCCACCCAGAAATGACAACATAGCTAGTGAGGCTGACAGTCTTGCTGTAATTGGGAGAAATGGCTGCAGCAGATTTGGCAGATTGAGAGTCACCAGCAGCCAAAGTTGGGGTTGTGCAGGCAGCCAAGGGGCTCAGGGCCCCCCGCCTCACATGGTGAAGAAAGGAAGAAGAGGTCAAATTCTAACCCAGATGAGAAAGTTGGTCCCAGGGGCAGTTTCACTTCCTCATCTCACTCTCAGGATGTGGGGAAGGGCATCCATCATGTCCCCTTACTGCCAAAGTTTCCTCTGAGAGAGGCTGGGGAGGGTTTATAAAAATCTCCTGGTGAAGACAGCCTCCCCCACCGGTCCCCCAATTGGCCTCTGCTCCCTTCCAGCCACTTCACAGCAGAGTCCAAATCCAGAACCACGTGTTTCGTGGGCCTGAGGGTGGTGAGGGGAGGACAGGATGGCCAGAGGCAAGGAGTGGGGGATCGGGGGCAGTGGCCATTCTTAGCAGTTCCAGGAACACAGGGCTTTTTCTTCCAAGTACCCTGCACAGGCTCAGTGGCAGCGCTGGCCACCTGCCCTCCCAAGTGAGTTCCAAACCCCCACAGAGTGCCTCAGAGTTGGAGAGGGTTCAGGCAAGGAAGACCACAAAGATGATGAAGAAAACAATGAGGATGAGGAAGATTTTGACCATGAGCCACCGGTTGGAAGTAACTGACTGGAAGTACTTGAGAATCTCTGAATGGGCGGCCTCAACATCCAGCTGGGCTCCTGACACGTTCTCATCGATCCTGGGGATAGGGTCGGGAGGAGAGGAAACAGAAGGACAATGGATTAGAAAGAATGCTACTGAGGTGGACTTACTGACATGGAAACATGGTCACAATATGTGGCAATAAAAAGTTTACATATATAATAGGACCCCATTTTTGTGTATAGAAAAAGCTGTGGAAGGGTAATATAAACAAGTCTTGGCTTTCGTGTGAAAATCAGCTCTGCAACTTATTAACTGATGACCCTAAGCCAGTCATTTAACCTCGAATCTCATATTCCTCAACGGAAAAGGAAGGAAAAATGGTAACACAAACTCTACCTCTCCGGTTGTGGTCAGCCTTACCTGAGTTAACAAATATAAAGTGCCCAACCCATACTAAGTCCCCAGAATATGAGCTATTATAATGTTTTACTCATTAGTATTTGATTTTTGTCTAATAAATATGTATTGCACTTGAAACGGGGAAAAGTACACAGGCCATAACGGTAAGGAAATCCTGGTTCTGAGAAACACGAAGAAAAACTTAGTGATGTGGACAGGCAGTCAGGGGAGAAGAGAAGCCCTACATCAGGAAAACATGTCTCCAGAGGACAGAGGCGTCCTCGGAGGAAGGGCGAGCTCTTGAAAGGTTGCTGAGAAAGAGAGAACATTTTCCGGCCAAACTGCATATGCCAAATACAAACCAAATACAAATTCCTGGTCTCTGCAAAGGGAGTTCCTGGGAGCGGAGAACTTTCCAAGCCGTGAGGACAGCAAAGTTGGTGGAACCTGGCAATCCAATTGGAAAGGGACAGGGAAGGCTGAGCCAGGGAAGGCTGTAAGCCCAAAGTCCTGGGAAGGTGCTCATGAGGACTGCGAGCTAATTTCTGTCCAAATATAGGAGCTGGATTGTACACGACTCTCTAGTATGTCAGAGAGGTTTCCTAGCTTTTGGCTATAATTGCACTTCTCAGTGTGGGTGCATTTGTCCTCTTGTACCCAATAAAGCTCACGCTGGCTGTGCTTAACAGAAGTGGAACAACAGCAAATGCCATCTGGCATATAAAAGACTTTAAATGGGACTTCATGAATGAAACTGAAAGGAACGCCAGTGGCGAAAAAATTAGGAATCGGTGGGACAATGACAGGCAGTAGCAGGGGAATTAGAAAATGAAAATGAATGGAGCAGAAAAAAAAAATGGCTTAGGAAGGACGAGACTGAGGAACACTGAAAGGGAAAATGTTTGCACGGAGAGGAGGACAAAATATCTTATGGAGAGGAAAAACTAGAGAGGGAAGGAACTGAGCAACAAGAAGCTGAACAGAAAGAATAAATGATGAACCTGCTGTGCGAGGCATGGAAAACCAGAGGACTGGAAGGTGAGTGTAAGTTGGAAACAACGAAAAAGGAGGTTTAACCAAAAAAGACAGGGAGCCCAAGAACTGGAAAGATTATGTGACTGTGATTAGGAGACCTGGGATTTTAGTTTCTGAATTAGTTTCCCCAAAACTTCACGTGATTGAGTAACTGGGTTTGGTTCAAGAGGACCCAGAAACTGCCTTATTTCATTGTAATTTTAAAGAAAGCTCCTTCCTTCCAGAAGAATGCCAGCTAATAAATGTAGGAGGACTGAGGGAATTCGAAAATTACCATTTTGCCACACACAGTCTCCCAAATGAGTCAGGCAAGGATCATCAGGGCTGGACATCCACAAGGACTCAAAGTATCACTTTGCAGCTGACTTAGTCTGAGGGTCACCACCTTAAACTGACCAAACTTGTCATAACCAATAAAGGGATAATAACCTCATTCAGTGCTGATACGATCACCTGTGTAGCCGGCCAAAAATATTTAACCTGAATCTAATCACGACAAATACAGATGCAGGACTTTCTACGAGCAAGCAGTGGCCTTGGGGAGTGCTCTTCCAGTAGCTAGATGGGATGCTGCCCTATTCATAAATCTTTTAATAAAGCCAATTAGATCTGTTACATTAAAAAAAAAAACACTGGCCTCTTAAAAAGAAAAGGAGTCAATGTCACAAAACAGAAAGCAGATTAAAGAGACGTAACAATCAAATGCAATGTGTGAATATTGCCTGGGTCTTAAACTGAAGGGAAAAAAATGCTAAACGCCTTTTTTTTTTTAGAACAGTTGGGGAAATGTGAACATGGATTGGGTACTGCATACTGTTGGAGAACAGCTAATTTTCTCAGGTATGACAATATTATGGCTGTTCGGATAATACCTGTTCTTGGAGGATGCATGCTTTAGCGTTTGGGAATCAAATGTCATGATGTTTGCACTCAATTTCAAATGATTCGGAAAAAATAAGAACAAGAGGAAGCAAAGGTGATAAAATGTTAAGAGTTGGTGAATCCAGGTGAGAGAAATATAGATGCTCCTTATGCTACCCTCCTAACTTTTCTGTAGTTTGAAATTTTATTTACAAATGGGGGAGGGAAATGACTGAGTAAAGTAAAATGATCAGCAGTTTGCATACCTTAGAAAAAATAAGAATCACCTGTTGAGTGTCTCAAAATGCAAATTCTTAGGTCTCATTTCCAGAGATTCTAGGGTGGGACCCAGGAATCTACATGCTGAAGAACTTCAGACCCAATCAGTGGTTTCTTTTTTTTTTTTTTTTTTTTTAATGCCTATAGCCCCTGGTCTTTCTGGGTGGTCTCCCATCCAAGTACTAATCAGGCCCGACCCTGCTTAGCTTCTGAGATCAGACAGGATGGAGCCTGCTCAGGGTGGCATGGCCGTAGACCCAATCAGTGGTTTCTAAAGAGGATCCAGATCCACTAGCATCCAGGAGGCAAACATAAGAATGTTTATATCTATTTTTCAAATTCATCCTTTCAGGATCTCCATTTCTTGTGCATATGGTTGCCTACAAATTTCCTCTCTGGTTATTTCCTTTTTACACTTCAGTCTACTGTAAAATTCCTTCTGAGCCATTCAACTCCAAGTGCTGACACTGATCCAATCAAGTCCTAGTCCTTGATCTGATTAACACTTTAGGGTCCTTCCCTCACGCTTCCTTTCTCAGGAGCACTCACACCTATGGAATCAGAATCTCCAAGCATGAGGCCAGGAACCTATTTTCTTTACCTTGCCCAATTAAATGAGGCGGGCTGCTCGATGGGCTGGTGTTGGGAAACCTGCTTTATACAAACGTAGGTGTCTACCCGGCTTCACATGATCAGCAAGCTAGGGTAAAAGAGCTCTGCCAGGTGCTGTGGGGAATAAAGTTACACCAGAACTGGATGTCTCCTAAAGGCATGAGCAGTGGGCAGGGCTGTGTGCACCTGTGGATCCCTCTGACCTTCCACACCTCCTCTCCCCATTCTCTCCACTAACAGCCTTTCTTCTGAATAAACTGAGAAGACTAAAGTACTCTGAGAACTACCACCCCACCCCCACCGCCTCACCTACCAACCCCCAGCATCAGTGCAACATATTGAACTTTCCCACCTATTACCAGCTCCTTTTAAAGCCAAGCCCACTGCATCCTACTTCCTCTCACCTTCTCAAGACGTAATTTTAAGAATTCTCCCCTTCACCCCGCTCCTGTATCATCTATTTTTATTTCTCTGTTGGATCATTCCTATTAGCATACAAACATCCTTAAAAATTTTTTTTAAAACCATCTTTAAAAATAAAAAACCTCTTGGCTCCTACTGGACAAACTGGGAACAATCTGAGCACAAAAATAATCATTATCCTAACTGATTATAATACAAAAAACAAAAACCCTAAGCCCATAATGACGCCCAAGAGAAAGAAAGAATTAAAAAACAAAACAAGAACTCTGTGGTTACTACTTGTGGCAAACGTTCCATCAACTATTTACTCTGAAAATGCAGGAAAATAATTCAGGTTTTACCTAGCTTAATTAAGAGGATTCGGCTCATGCTGTTAATAAAGGAAAGCTCTTCTTTAGAGAAAAATGTGTTCCAATGAGATAAACTGATTCAGATAAGCATCATAAATGGATGCTAGAAACATTAGGTAAAGGTTTTTGGAGAGGAAGGTATCACAGGGTACCTCATGAATTACTTGCTGACTGCGAAGAAGAAAATGTACTTTTATTTTTATTTGTTGTTATTTATGCCTACAGCACCTGGTCTTCCTAGGTGGTCTCCCATCCAAGTACTAACCAGGCCTGACTGTGCTTAGCTTCTGAGATCAGACATCGGGCTTGTAGACCATGGACCATGGCTCCACTGGGGCACGAACCCAGGACCTTCTGTGTGTAAAGCAGATGTGCTAACCGCTACACTATGGCACCACGTCTGAAAATGTACTTTTAAAAGGAGAGATTATTTGTCATCAGTTCAATCAAGTGATTAGATTTGTTCTCTCTTATACAGGAATAAGCTGACATTAAACGCCTCCTAATGAGATGTAATTTGATACACATATTTCCAGAAAGAGGTGGAAAAGATATTTGAAGAAATAATGGCCAAACATTTCCTAAATTTTGTGATAGACATAAATTTACAGATTTCAAGAAGCTCAGAGAACCCCAACGAGGATAAATTCAAAGAAAATCACATCTAGTCTATGGCCATGCTACCCTGAACAAGCCCGATCCCATCTGATCTCAGAAGCTAAGCAGGGTCAGGCCTGGCTAGTACTTGGATGGTCCCATGGATTGAATCTAGCCCATGACATTTTCTTTAAGTAAAGTTTTATTGAAACACATTAATTTTCATTCACCTTTTTTTTTGGCTGCTTCTACTCTATAATGTTAGAGTTGAATAGTTAAAACAGAGATTATATAGCTTGCAAAACTGAAAATATTATCCCGATCTAGTCTGATTTCAGAAACTAAGCAGGGTCAGGCCTGGCTAGTACTTGGATGGAAGACCACTTAGGAAGACCAGGTGCTGTAGGCATAAAAAAAGTAAATAAATAAAAAATAAGGAATTGTAAACTGACAAGATCCTTGCAATCTGTGAGGTCAACCAAGGGTTGCCTCGCCTAAAAAAAAAAAAAAAGAAAAAAAGAAAATCACATCTAGACACATAAATAAGTCAATAAATAAGTCAACTGCTAAAATCAGCAATAACAATGTTGAAAAGCAGCCAGAGGAAAACACATTACATACGATTAGAATATGACTAACTTCTTACGAAAAACAAGAGACCAAAAGACAATAGAATGATGTGTTTGAAGTGCTTAAAGAATAAAGCTGCAAATCCAAAATTCTATACCCAGAGAGAATATCTTTCAAGAATAAAGGTGAAATAGAGATATTTTCAGATAAAAGAAAAGTAAAAGAACTTGTCAGCAGATCTGCACTATAAAAAATGCTGAAGTTCTTCCGGTTAAAAGGGAAGTGATGCCAGATAGAAAATGGATATTCAGGAGGGAATGACGAGCTGAAAACGGTAAACACATGAGTAAATACAAGACTATTTTTTCTTCTTAATTTCTTTAAACTTTAAAACAAAAGTTATAATTTTGTAGTGTGAGATCTATAAAGCATATAGATGCAACAAATATGACAACATGAGCACAATGGATGGGGAAAGATGCAAAGTTCTTCCAATTTGTACGAAGTACACTGGAAAGTTAATGATGCATATAGTAATCCCTACAGCAACTTAAAACAGCAAAGACATATAGCTAAAATATCAACAGACAACTTTAAATGGAATTCTAAAAACAATTTCCAGTTGTTCAAAAGAAGGAACAGAAAAACAAATAGATGGGAAAAACAGAAAGCAAATAGTAAAATGGGAGGCCTAAATCCAACCTCATCAAAAATTACATTAAATGTTAATGAATTAAACACTCCAATTAAACTCGAAGCTCTCATCTTGCTCGGCCTAAAAACAAAATCTGCCACAGCTGATCGCTCTTTCCTTGACTCAGTTTCCTTTCCTGGCTCCCAGGACCCCACATTCATTTGCTTTTCTTCCTCTCTCACCAGCTGAGCTCCTGTTCAGTCTCCCCACAAGATGAGACTTAGGTTCAGAAAAGGACCCCATGCTTGACCCTCCTCTTTATACACACAAGCCTCACCCAGTTTCAAAATCCGATTCTGCCCACTCTCGCCTTAGACCTGTCTCACAAACTTGATATATGCACCTGCCTATGCACTATCTCCACTTAGGTGTCTAACATACAACTGTCCACCTCTTGTTGGATAACGCGTCCAACACTGAACTTATTCCGCCCCTAAACCTACTCCTCTCTGAGTAACTGGCCCTATTTCAAGGAAAGGCCATAAATCCCTTCAATTGCTCGTAGCAAAAGCCTGGAGTTATCACAAACTCCTCTTTTTCTCTCACATCTGACATTTAGTTCATCAGAAAATCGCTCCTTTTGGTTCTACCTTCAAAATACATCTAGAATCCAACTACTACTCACCAGCTTGCTCACAGCTACCATCCCCTCTTGCCTAGATTACTGCAGAGGCCTTATCACCTATCTCCCCGCTTCTATCCTAGGCCCCTACAATCTGTTCTGATTACAGCAATTGAATGATCCTTTTAAAATAGAAGTCAGATAGTGTAATCTTTAGTCCAAACCCTGCAATGGCTGTTTATGTCACTGAGAGTAAAAGCCAAAGCCTCACATGACTTTAAAAGGTGTCACATGACCTGGCCCCTCATTTCTCCTCTGACCTTACCTGTGTACTACTACTCTCCTCCTCACTTGTCCCCAGCTATAGTGGCCTCTTTGCTACCCTTTAACTCATCAGACCCACTCCTGTGTAAAGACCTTCACACTGGCTCTTCTCTCTGCCTAGTATTCTTCCCCAGATATCTACATGGCAGACTCCCTTACGTTCTCTCAAATCTTGGTTCAATGTCACCTTCTTAATAGGGTTGACCTTAATTACCCTATTTAAAATTACAACTTGTCCCTCTAAAACTAGCACTCCTGATTAGTTTATCCTACTCTTATTTGTAGTGTTTATCACTGGACGAAAATATGTACTGGACCACTTATTATATATCTTAATAATCGATCTCCCCTCGTAGGATGTAAGTTCCACATGGGTGGGGATCTTTACCTCTTTTGTCCGAGGATGTATTGACATAACTTATTGAATGAATGAATGCTAAGTACCAAAGAGGAAGGCAGATAAAATGCCTCTTGCAGCAGCAGGTGGCGCTAGAGGAGCAGAGAAGCCCGCCCATTGGCCAGCTCTGCCTGCCGCCTCCAGTTTCATCCTGTACCTCCCTGTTCATTATTTTCTAGCCATGCTGGCCTTTTTGATTCTTGAATACAGAAAGGCTGTCCCATCATAAGGCGTCTGTGCTAGCTGCCCACACTGCCTAGAACATTCTTTCTCTCTTCTTTGCATGGTTGCATCCCCCTTGTTATTCAGGTCTCTGTACCAAAATCATGTCTTTTTCAGAGCAGCCCTCCCTGCCACCCAATCTGATGTACCTGGTCAGTCATTTTCTTAACACATCATCCTGCGTTAACTCTCTGTATAGCCCTTTCACTGTCCAAAAATTTCCTGTCAACTCTTTTTAACTGCTGTCCTCACCCACGCTACTGAATTCCATACATACACTACGAAGTAGCTCCATGAAACAGAGACATTGCTGTTCTACTTATTGCTATATTCTCAGCGCCTAGAACGGTGCCTGACATGGAATGGGTGCTCAATAAACGCTTGCTGAATGGATGGAGGCAGGCGGACTGAACCCTGTGGGTGGGCAGGATTCACTCTACTCTTCGGAAGGGCTGTCCCTAGGGACCTTTCAGAATGCCAATCCACAGGGAAGAGAAGGCTCCTCTGTCTGGGGCGGAAGAGAGAGAGAGCCTCACCTCTGAATGGTTTCTTCTTGCTCCTTAACCATGTGTGCCAACTGCTGAAAGATGGAGCCCAGCTCGACAATCGTGGACTCGATGTTCTGCATGGTGTCGGCCCGGCTCTGAATGTAGGTATCCTTCAGAGGAGAGAGCGTGCATGAGCACCAGGAGCAGCTTCGGGCAGGGCCTGCCTCTTTAGGGCCCTCCCAGCTTGCCGGTTCGCCCACTGCACATTCCAAACGCTTGTGGTCCACAGAGGACAGAGGGGCGACTCCTTCCCGGCTGAGAGCCTGAGTACCTGCTCGTCAATGAGCTGGAGCTGCTGACTGGTCCGAGAGTCCACCATATCGATGGCGACGTCCCCCGAGGCACGGGGCTCCGCCCCCAAAACCACAGCACCGCCCCCTGGAGGAAGAAAGAAGACAGGGCACTTTTTATCGCTTAAAAGCAGTTTCAACGCCCCCTGTGCTCTAGATTTGAATCCCAGCTCTGACACTTACTAGCCTTGTGACCCTAGGCAAGTCATTTAACCTCTCTGAGCCTCAGTTTCCTCATCTGTAAAATGGGAGATAATAATAGTTGCTTTCTCAAAGGGTGGTTGTGAAAATTAAATGAGATAATGTGAATGAAGCAAGTGCACAAAAATTATTAGAAACTATCATTATTCTAAACGTAACCGACTTCACCGCCAACAGTGAGAATGTGGGAGACTAAGTGTGGATCCCGAAGGCCAAGGTCAGGTTTGACCTCTGAGACATAAAGCCTAACAACTTCTTTGCCCCTCCATTCTCCTACCCAACCCTGCCCTTAGAGGAGGCCATCACAACCAGAGGAACTGAGCCGTGCCCCTCAGGACTCCCCGTATTGCCTGTGACTTACCCAGGTGGTTGGGGGCAAGGGGCAGGGCTGACACGGGTGTCCGGGAGAACTGCTCCTGCCGGCTCCTCTGCTGTTTCAGGTTCTGGGGTTGGGGAAGAAATGCAAACGTCCTGAGGCCTCTGGAAAGCAGGTATGTTAAAGAGATCCCTCCTGTGGGCCCATAACCCTGTTGCCCTTGCCCTTCCACTTGTCCCTTTCCCATTTCCCTCTTGGGCCCTTACTCCCAGATTCCTATCCCTCCTACACAGATTATTCTCACCTCTGTCCTCACTTCTAGAACTGATTTGAAGTCATTGGACATGGAAGCCAGTTTCGACTAGAAGAAAAAGAGAGAGGGTCAACCAAAGGAAGACAATACCTCCCTCCCTTTTATTTCCCCCTCTCCCACCCCAGGTCCCACCCCAGGTCCCACCTGCAGAGAGACCACGATGGTATTGGAATGGGTTTGCAGGTGCCGGCCGCTCTGGCTGCCTTTGGCCCTCACGAAATCCTGAAGCTGGGCAATTTGTTTGTTGAGGCTATTGATGTCCTGGTGAAAAAGAGCCAACAGAAAAACTATCATCCAAGGAGCCTTCGGTCAGCATCTCCCTTACATGGACATCTCTGGCAGGGAGGGCAGAGTGGGAGTCACTAGCAGCTACTAGTCAGACTGAAAGGGCCTGCTGGGATTTTCCGAGCTCGAGAGTTTGCTCTGATTCAGTCTCTGTAGAGTAGAGCCAGAAAAAAAAGAAATATGCTCTCATCCATTGATAAATAAATTACTTATTTAATGCCTGCACCCTATTGCCTTACTCCAACCTGTGAGGTCAAGCTCATGGTCACAGAACCACTTAAAAGCCCAAAATTTTGAACCTAGAGCATGTTGCCCAACAAAGCATTGGTGTAGTGCTCAGGGGAAAGCAAGAGTCAAAGGCACCATGGTTTTCCAGAAGCATCAGCAAGAGTGAAAATTGTGACTTGTCCAAGGTCACACACGATAAGTTGAGTAGCACAGCTAGGTTTCGACACCAGACCGATGCCGAGTCTACTTCACAACCCAACCTGCCAAGGGAGATGGAGACTGCCAGGGGATGGCAGGGAAAGCTGACCCAGGGCAACCAGCCAGGGAGGGATTAGAGGAAGAAGAGAAGGGGGAGGGGAAAGAGGTCTCGAATAGTTCAAGAAATTGGCTCGGGAAAAAAACTAGGTAACTTCTAGAGCCCTTCCAATAGTCCCTCCCAATTAACATCCCTCCAATTAGTACCCCAGCCCCAACCACACTCGAGACCCCTGGATGATTTCCACTGACTGGCTTGCCCCTTTGGAAAGTTGATGCAACCCCAATAGCCATGTGTCCAAAACTATATTCCAAGTTTTCTCCCCATAATATCTCCTCCCTCAGGGTTCTAGCTTAGAAAATGGCAGTATTTATCACCTCAGCGCCCCAGGTAGAAGCTTCTAAGTCACACGCTCACATATCCCTAACCCACCTACAGCCATAACATAACCACGTTCTGCTGAGCGCTTACTACGATGTACTCGGCACTGTGTGAACACAACAGCAGCCTCGTATTTGTTTACTATGTGCCATGCAATATGCTAAGCAGCTTACGACTTTCTCTGTCCTTAAACTTAACATAGAAAACAACTCTTAAGTCCCCCATCCCGGAAAGCTATTCCCCTTTGATCCTTCCCTTCCACTTTGGTGAATGGCACTATCATTCACTGTTGCTCAAACCAAAAACTGAAGAGCCATCCTCAATCCTCTCTTTTCCCTTAATCCGCCTGGACCATAACAGGAATCCAGAGAGAACCCAGCTGATTCCAGCACATCCTCTGAATCGGTTCACTCATCTCCTCCACTGAACCCATCCTAGTCCAAACTGTCTGCTGTCTCTCAAAAATCTCCAAGAGCCTCCTAAATGACCTTCCTCTTAGAGCTTAATCTCCTTACAATCTACTTTCTACACAGCAACCAGAGTGATCTTTTAAACCAGAGCACATCATCCCTCTGCTTCAGATCTTCCCAGAGCGTCCCACTAAGTGTAGAATCCAACCCAAATTCCTTACTTGGTTTACACAGGCTCTATATGGTCCGGCTCCACTCACTGCTGTGACCTTATCCCCTACCGGTCTCTTCCTCACTTGGTAGGCTGCAATCACATTGGCCTCTTTAGTGTTTATCAAATGTATTAAGGTCACCATACTTTGAGACCTTTCTCTTCACTATTCTCACCCTCTGGAAAGTGCATCCATCAGATCTTTGGATGACTGGCTTTTTTCTAACTGCTCATGTCTCAAAGTCACTTCTTCAGCCAGGTCATCCTAGATCACTTCATCTGAAGCAGGCCCCTCACTTGAGTAACTCACTCACCTTATTTCTTATTAAGGATTTACCACTAACCGAAATTGTCTTTTCTGTTTACTTATAGAGTATCTAGTTCACCATTCAGAAAGGAAGTTCCCAAAGGCAAGGATCACATAATTGTCTTGTCCACTGCTGAATCCCCAGAACCAGGCAGCCAAAAGCACTCAATAAAGTAATTGGAAAATAAACATAGGAGTTCGCAACAACCCTGTGAGGTAGGTACTGTTTTTCTCCCCTTTTTATTTATAAAGAAAGTGAACTTCAGAGGAGTTAGGTAGCTCACCCAAGGTCATACCACAAAGGCTGGACCTGGGATTTGAACTCAAGTCGTGGTACCTGAACGCCTATGCAATAACACCCCAACAGTTAGTGGAACCCTCTCTTTTCTACCCTGCACAGCATCTCTAGAATATGTCTGCCCTTTGGCCTCTGCTATAATCATCTTCGTACTGGACAACTGCAGCAGGCTCCTTCCTAGCCTCTCTGCCCATCCGTGCTCCAGGTTTTTTCTCCCTCTCCATCCATGGTCATTGAATCTCACCTTTTATTCTTATTACATTGTGCTGGCAAAGGAAGGAATTGCAACTGTACAGAATTGTGCTACGCCAGTGTCTTTCAGACAGAACTGGGATCCAGGTTCTAATTGTCTTGTAGCCCATGGCAGTTAAGAGTGAGTTTACGCTCCTTAGCAAGGTCCACAATGATCTTCACAACCAACCACCTATCTACATTGCAGCTTCATCTCCTGCCAATCACTCATTCATTCAACAAATATGGAATACCTACTATATGCCAGACACTGTTTTAGGCATTTGGGACACATCTGTGACCAAGCAGAAAGAAAAAGATCTCTACTTTTGTGGCACTTACATTATTTTCTCCTTTTTTTGAAGGGGTTGAGGTAAGTGGGAAGGAACAGAGACAAACAACATAATAATTACAGAAAAGGTTAAAATGTATCAAGTGCTCTAAGGAAGAAAACAGCAAAGTAAGAAAGATCAGAGTTTTTGTCACTGGATTATAAAACAGCAGTCAGAGTAGGCCTCCTGGAGCAGGTAACATCTGAGAAAAGACTTGAACTTTCTCTTTTGTAAGCCATGCCTCTGCAGTTTCCTCTGTCTGGAATGTTCTTCCACTGCCTCTACACAAGCCTTGAAACCAGCTCACATTTGACCTCCTCTATGAAATCTTTCCCGGAGTCCCTAGACTATCATTCATCTTTTTGTAAGACCTTTTCTGTACACTTGCCTCCTACTCGTAAGTCGAAATTTATGGGGCTGGATTTCTCTTCTAAACAATAAGCCCTTGAAGACTGGAATCTTGCCTCATGCTTGTAAGGCAAGTGCCCAGTACGGTGCTTTGAACACAGCAGATGATCAGTAAGTGTTTACTGATTCAATGGATGAGCAAGGATGTTTTGGGCCGGCTCTAGAAACTTGCTCTGGGCCTCCATAGCAATGAGAAATGATGGAAGTGATCTGACTGGAATGCTGGGCTCTCTTGATAGTAACTCACCTGTTTGATGATGTAAGTCAGCTCCTCGATTTCTACTGCTTTATCATCAAAGAGGGATTTGCGCTTTGCCACTGCAGAGACAAAGAAGCCACAACAGGTGAGGTCAAAGACAAGGCTCAAGGAGTACGGCTCCTTAGCCCTCTTTGGTTCAATGCCCCATCTCTGAAACATCCCTGGAACACTCACAGATCGTCAGCTTCTCCAGCTTGGCAAATGTGTTGCTGAGGTCTTTCCCAATGCGCCTGCAAACAAGCATGAGCGAGGACACGGTGGGAAAGGGCAGGAGAGGGCCTCTTCCCACACTGCTCCAGCCCTCACAGCCAGGGCTACCAGAGTCAAGCCTATTTCTCCTCGGATGCTGCATCAGCCCACCACTTAACTTCTCTCAACTCACTTGGCCATGAGGGTGAATTCACTACGTTGCCGGACAGCACGCAGAGCCGGTTTGTTTGCTTGTATTCCATTCTGAAAAGCAATGTCAAGAGGTGACACTTTAGTTCCCCCTCTCGTTTCCACCTTTCACTATTCTCAGGTGTCCACTATACTCTTTCTAGTACTGGTGATATCCTTCACCAGACAGTCTAATTTTATCAGTAGCAGAAGTTTAGAGGCCAGATTTGAAGACAGACAGACTCAGGTTCAAATCTTGACTCTACCACTTGCTGGCTGGAGGGGGTGGGGGGCAATTTACTGAAACCATTCTAAGTCTCTATTTCCTCTTCTATAAAATGAAGGCAATCCGCACACTTCCTATTGTTGTTGTTAAGGTAAACTAAAGGGCTGTACAGTATTTTAACCAAATAGCTGGTACACTGAGAACATCAAATGAATGGCAGGTAGCATTACCATTCTATTACTCCAATCGGGGCATCCAAAAGAATAACTGGAAAACTCTTGGAGATCATATAGAAGAGCAGTTGTTAACAAGAGCTGAGCAGTAAAAATATTTAAAATTACAGTCACTCAGGTCCCACTTAGATTCAGAAAGTCTGGACCGAGACAAGGAAAAGCAATTTTTAAAAAAGCACTACGAAATGATTTTGATAAAAATTATTTATCTAGAAAATACCCTTCATTTTACAGATATAAAAACTGAGGCCCAAATACTTTCCTCGTGGTCCCAGAGCAAACCTGTGGTCCCAGAGCAAACTATACCAGAACTAGAATTCAAAGTGCTTGTCTCTAGCTGGGCTAAAAGCTCTTTCTAGAACCTGTTTCTTCCTTATCCAAACCGAATATACTGCAGCCACCTCTCATCCCGAAATTCCTTCCAAAATAGCAATCCTGCTCTCCAGGGGATTCCTCCCCCCAAATTTCAGATGTTTGCTTCCAGATAGCGAGCCCACCTCTTAGTAGATCCTTCCACCCCCTCTAAGCCTGATCAGTTCTCCATCAGATTCCCGCAGTAATTACTTAAAACAAAAAATACTTCAGTCAACAGTGTTGGAGCACAGCTTCTCCCGGATTTAAGTAAAGCCCACTCCTGCCTTTCCCACTCGCGGTCTTTACCTGACGGCTCTGCAGAGACTTGCAGGCAGACAGGAACTCCTGGGTCCGATCCCGGCAGGACATGGTGTCGGGAGGGGGAGGGACCAGGGCCACTGGGGGGGGCAGAGGGGCGATGTCGCTGCTGCTGCCAGTAGTTGCAGGGGACAGGACCTGTGTCTTTGAGAGACCCAGGTAGACACCCTGATCCGTGTTCTTAGACCCGTAGCGTTTCCGCGGGATCATTGAGACGCATAACCTCGGACTGTTGTGGAGGGGAGAGTGTCATTCCCCAGGCAACCTCTTTCCCCACAAATTCTCCCCAACCAGCAAATCTTTGAGCCCCAAAGCCAACCACAGCTCCTGGGGCTGGCCAGCAACGGGCAGGGCCCCACTTCCTCTCGGACCTAAGCCGTTCCCTTTCTGACTCTTTTTCAACTTGGCTCGGGTAGCCACAGCGCGGGGCCGGGGGGCCCTGAAGCAGAGACAGGGCCAAGGCAGGTCCCGTGGCCCCGAGGCTCCAGGCCGGCCTGTGCACTAACTGTCCCAGGCTCTAATTGGGCCCTCTAGTATCCACGGGTTCCTTCGACTCCTCGGGGAGAAATGGTGACGGACCACCTGAAGGGGACACACTTCGGTGGGCGGAGAGGGGGGAAAAAAAAATCTCTGGGTGTTTATTTGAAACAGGAAGTCCCACCCCTGCACAAGTCCCGCCTTCCGGAGGACGGCAACTACTGATTAGTTAATGCCTACGCCTTTCTCAATAGGGACTTTCCTGATTGGACGGCAAGATATTCGCTCACCCGGAGCCGGGCCGGCAGGACTTGTCCGCTGGCCCCTGGTTTCCTTCCCCCGGCCCATCGCCGCCTCCCGGAAAGCCGGTGCCGGGACCTGACACGGCTGCCAGACCCCTCTTAGAGCGAGTCCTACCTCCTCTCTGCCGCCTGCCGCCGCCACCGCTGCCGCAACCTCCCGGGTCGTCACCGCCTCCTCTTCAGGCGCGGAGTCCGCCGAAACCCGACCAAAGACTAGAAGCCGCCACGTCACCCACACGTAACCCCACCCCCGGTGACGAGAGGGCAGTGTCACGCCTTTTCGAGCCGGGCCAACCCTAAGGACACGCCCCCTAAAACGCAAAACGATCCCGTCCCCCCATTGGCTAGACCGCTCTCCTGACCCCGCCCCTAAGAATTAGAGCCCGGGCTCTGGGGGCGGGGCAAACCTCAGGGGAGGAGCCTTAAAGAGACCGCAGCCTCTTTGGTGCTTGCTCCCTGTACGCCCAGAGCGAGAAGCAGAGCCTTAAGCGCTCCAAGTACACGTTAGAAGCTTTATTCTCTGGAGGCTAGGGCAGATTGAGAGCAGAGCTGGAGTCACCCCTTCTCCGGCTCCTCCAGGATCCCCTCCGAGTTGTTCTCCGGGAGCATACGCCCTTGCTTTTGAATCTGGATTGATTGTCTCCTCTTGTTTGATCGTGTGGAGCCCCGACGGCTGAACATGGATAGCCGCCGCCACAGTACAGTGATCAACAGGCTTTCGTTAGACTTGAGATTTCGGTGGTTTGTCGAGTCCACATCAGTCCCTTCGCCGTCGATGTCGACGTCCGTGTCTGGGAAATGACCAGGCAGCTGAGTTCCGCTCTACCCTCCCCCGTCCAACCTCCTGGACCTTTCCCCTCTCCAGCTCCAGCTCCAGCTCCCTGGGCCTCCCTGGGCCTCCCTGGTGTCTCTGGTCCCACCTTCCTCCTTGACTTCCTCCAATTCGGCCTCCTTGGCCTCCTCATTGCAGGTGTGGCAGTCCTTGTCTTGGCAGCAACCCATGGCCCGCGCGGCCCCCGCACTCGGTGCCACCTACTCCAGCCCACCTGACTCCCACCCGGCTTTTGTGACGTCAGATATCCCGCCGCCCCAGCTCAGAAAGCAGCCACCCTTCTTTCATTTCTCCCATCATAAAAGGCTCAAGGGCATGGAGGGTGTTGAGCTGTTTATTTACAAAATGAGCACAGGCTCTTCAGGGGCTGGCGGAGCCAGGCCGCTTCTTTCTCCGTCTGGTTGGCCGAGACCCTGGGGTCAGCTCCGAATCAGGGAGCTTCCGCTTGGCAGCTGCCTCCAAAGAAGCCCAAAGTTCATCTGCCTCTGTGTCTTCTGGGGGCACCTTGATGGACTCTTGAGGCTCTTGGGGCTCATCCTGGTGAGTGGAGAAAAGCTTAGGAATCAGGGGCCCAGTAATACCCCACAGGGAGGGAGGTTCTGGCTGACAAACAGCCCTTCCAGGTACCAGTGCTTTTATGTCCTGCTCTGGGAAGCCATTCCCATCCATGTTCCTGTCATTCTTGGCGGGAACCCTGTCAGGACTGTAACTATTAACATTCCTCACAAAAATTAAGTAACAAGGTAGGTGGACAGACAGTTCCAGGTGCTTCCTTTTTCTTCCCACAGGGAAATAAACCCTCACATCTATGCTCATGGCTCCCACCTTCCCAGACCCAACTGCTTACCTCCCAGTTGTCCCTGCCTGACAGGAGAAGGCAGTTCAGCTGAGACTTAAGATAAACCTGCAAAAGATGAGGGGCCTTAAGGAGCCAAACATCCTGAAATAGAACCATGAATGGGGGGCAAAGGAGGCAGCAGGCTCTTACCTTATGCTCCAGGCCCCGTGGATTCCGGATCCTGTGTACCCTCAAGATTCTGTCCAAGCCACAGGAGGCTAGTAGGGGCTTTGAAGGGTGGCACTGCAACCCACGGACGCTGCCTGCCAGCCCCTTCAGACAGCCCAGTAGACGTCCTGGAGAATGGGGGAGACATCAGCGCCAGTTAGGCATCCAACAACCATTTATCGTTTACTGTTCAAATCACTTTATAGTTCAATACTTAATCCTCAACATAATGCTGACATAGGAATTACCATTAATATCTCCATTTTACAGGTGAAGGAACTAAGGCACAGGGAGTTGAAGGAATTTGTTTGTCATACCGCTTTTGAAACCAGGATTTGAACCCAGACAATCTAACACCTGTCAGATGTACTGCTTCAGAGGAAATCCTCCCCTCCCCTCCCCTCCCCCAGGGGTCCCAGTCCACTACCTTGCCGAAGGTCGATTTCTGCCAGCTGCCCGTGAGTGTTCCCCACGATCACCGAACTGAGGAGGAGACCAGAGGCAGGTGGAGTCAGCAGGAGCCTCTGGGAGCCCTTCCTGACCCCACTCTGCCCTCTAAACACTCACTTGCCCCCAGGAGTGAGAGTCATGGCTGTCAGTGGATACTCTCCATAGGTGGCCTCTAGGACCGGCCGGCGCTGAGGAGAGGCTGGATCATAGACACGGACCTGGAGAAAGACAGGTGTCACAAAGGTACCGTCACTCCACATAACCCCCCTTTGTGGCTTCCCCACATCTTCATCCCCTCCTTCATAACCCGCTCTTCAAAAAACTTGCTCATTTGAAATGTACCCTCTTCTCTGAGTGTTGGGGTTGGGGGACAACTGCTTAGGACAGGGCTGAGGGGAGAGATCCCCAAGGTTGGGAGCTGACGGCATCCCATGGTCTGCATAGGTGAGCATTCCATCCCGCATATTCCCATCTTGGGATGGAAAAGCAAACTGGTCCAACTGACAGAGAAGTTTTGCCTGAACAAGGGAGGAGAGGAAGCCCGAGTGTGTTTTGAGCGGGTGCGTATCACCAAGATCAGCCTCCGATATGCAAGAGCAAAGGAAACAGTAAATACAGTGACTTGGTCCTGCCTGGGTCTTAGGACCTCAAATGAGGCCAGCTGTAAAGATCCCCAGTTGGGCTCTTCCTATAAAGCTGAGACACTGAGGCCAGAAAGGAGAGGGTCAGGGCTGGGTCCTGAAGCAAATCAGAGGCTGCTTCAGGACCAGAAACCCAGTTCTCTTGACATGCAGCCCAAAGTCCTCTCATGACACCTGAATCATGTGATTCTACTGTGAAAGGGACATTCCTTTCACCTCTCCTCTCTCCTAGGTAGGAGGAAAAGGAAGAGTCGGACTGTTCAGGAAACTCCATCCTAGAATGCAGTAAGAGAAGGCCATGGGGCTGAAACAGGCGAGGGAGTGCTCCCTCCTCTGACAGCTCAGGGATGGAAGGACGGTGAGGACGGCCGTGAAAAAGGATGGGGGCCGTGCCTAAGCAGGGAGGTGGTTTTTCCAGGAGGCTGCTTAAGCCCAGGACGTAGGGGTGGGGTGGGGTCTCACCTGGTGGTACCCTGTACAGGTGACAAGCTTCTGCGACTCAGGGAGGAACTGTATGTCCTGGTCCCAGATGGGAACTCGCAGGTCAAGCCAGTCATTCCGTACCTGGTGAGGTGGGTAGACAGGGGACAGGGTTGTGGGGAGCTCAGTGTGCCACTCCCTTCAGCCCTCCATCACCATCCCGTAAAGCCCACCTGGTCTCTGACTCAGTGGCCTCAGCCTCTGTGGACCTCAGACCCAGCCCCTCCCCACTCCCGTCACTTACATTCTTGGCTCTGAACACAGGCTCCTCAGACCCCTGGAGGTCCCACACCTTCAAAGCATTCTCCTTCCCACCTGTGGCAACTACATGAGGGCGCGCTGGGTTTTGGCGCATCCTACACACCCCAGGGCCTACCCTCAGTTCCAGGAGCTGAAAAGAATGGGAGATGAGAGGGAAGATTAGGGAGCATTTGAGATCTTGCTTCCCAACATCTCATCAGTTGGGCTCAAATAATCTCTCATCAAAATTCAAAAAAAATTTTTTAAAAAGAGAGAAGATTCGAGTCAATTACAGAGTCCTAAATCTTCCTCCCTGAAAGCCCTCACTCGGCTCCTACCCTGGCCCCAACCTTCCCCAGCCACCGGAATCAGGGCGGGGGAACCTCACTGGATCAGCTGATATCTCCTTGTCATTGTCACGCCAGACTCGGAGAATCCCAGAATCCACACATGTGATAAGGGTGCTGCAGGCAGAGGGAGGATAGAGTTAGGTTAAAAAAATAAATAAAGGAAGTGTGAAAGTATTCTCTAGGCCCCACTCCGCCTACCCCCAAATTAACTAGACTCCAAAGGAAGCCTCCAGGTAACTCGGGTCTGGACAGGGCCTGACAACTTCCAGCTTTCTGTCTGTTATTTAAGTTCCTCAACAGAGCGAGGATTTGCCAGTTTTATAGCTGAGGAAACTGAAGGTCTGAGCAATTAAAAGATTTGCCTACTCGGCTGCAAATGTCAGAACCAGAGCTGGAAATCAAGTCTGTGATACTCCAGAGCAGAATGCCTTTGTACTCCACAGCTACATCTGGGGGTACCTGGCCCGCAAGTCTTTCTGAAACCTGAGTCGGACACCAAGGGTCAAGATCAGTAACTCTGAAAGGACTGAAATGGGACTGGTCTGGATTTAAGGTTTGACCAAAGTCAAACACCAGCTTCTTCTCTTGAGTTCCCTGTAATGGGTTCCAGACACTAAATGTCAACCTCTCCCTCAAAGTACCCCTCCCCAGAAGCCCAAGCAGGTCTTTCCTCGGGAGCTATACAGCCCAAGCCTATGCTCTTTCTCACATTTGCCCACTCTCTCCACCTTGGTTCAGGCTCTGTATCGCTTGCCTGGGCTGTGTCAACATCTCCCATCTGCTCTCTCTCCATCCTCCACACTCCTACAGACTCAGAGCTCTGACCACAGCACTGCTCGCTCAAAAACCAGTAACTCCCCACCACCAAAAAACAAAAGTGCAAATCTCTCAGCCTGGCACTTAAAGCCCTTTGCAATTCATCTCAACCCTACCTTGCCTATCTTGTATTAAAATGCTTCCTCAGCTTCAACCTCCAAATGCTATTATATCTTCCCTGAAAGGTACCCTGTAGCCTGACACCATCAATCATTGGCTTCCACCCAGGCAGTAACCTCTTTCTAGAATGCACTTACCCCTTTCTCTAACCTGTTGAAATTCTACCAATCCTTCACGGCCTCCTGGACCTCACCTGTCAGAATTATCACCACTGAACTGACACAGCCTGTCAAAACCTCCTCTCTTCATCTTTGGGAGTAAGCTAGGCCAGTAACCTAAATACTGGCACTGTCCTATCCTTTACTTTGGGAGCTTCATCACCTTACTGGTGATTATCAGTCTCCGTTTAAAAACATCCTCTAAACTAGTGAATGATTTACTCAGGGACACTCTAAAGGTTATAAAATCAGGAGAAAATCCCTGGAGGGTGCAAACTCTATGAAGGTAGGTATTGTGTTTATCTGGTTAACCTACAGCCATTGCATTTCGCCCAATGCCTGAAACTCAGTAGGTGTCAAGTAAATGCTTGTTATTGGAATTAACGAAAGAGGCAGGACACAGGTCCTCGTAACCCAGCCCAGGCCCGTGTCACCTAAGGGTTGATCACTGTTATTCGGCGGGAGCTCTCTCCGAGGAGCTCGGTCTTACCCATCGACCTGGGCGAGGCCTCGGAAAGTGCCCTCCCCGCCGGGGCAGTGCCTCTGGCCCTGGAATCTGCCATCCTCGGTGCTGAAGTGCCTCACGGTCGAGTCAGCACAGCCCACAAGGATCTGCGTGGAGCGAAGTGCAGAATGGCGAGGGGAGCGAGGCTACGGCGCCCCGGCCCCCCGGCCCCCCGGCTCCGGCCTGGCCAGCAGCGGCTCACCTGTGTCTCACCACCCGCGCCCCAGCACAGGGCGCTCACCGCCTCCTCCCGCCGCGGCTGTCCCGCCGCCGTGAAATTCGCGGCCTGTTTGCGCTGAAGATTCACCCCTGCGGGACGCGGGCGTCAATCGCACGGGGGTCGCGAGCTAGCGACCTCCCTACTTCTCCCTGCCCGGTCCTGACACCCACCTTTCAGGATCCCAGTCTCGGTGCCGACCCACACATGATTCCAACGTGCCCCTGAAGCCGCCATCTCTGTGCCTGGCAGCTCCAGCCGCACTTCCGGCGCAGCGTCCGCGTCACCAGCGCGCGCCGAGTGGGATCAGGACCAAGGCCATTTCTGGGAGTTTCAAAGAGCCGAAGGGGTACAGATCACTTGCCTGCTCCGCCAGGTTTTGCTTTACGAAAACGAAATCTGGAGATATTTGTTTGCGGGGATCTGAAGAGTAACTTGACCGTTTTACTTTTGGAGTGAAACGCATCCTAGGTGGACCGCGATGCTGGGCCTAGTCCTCCCTACTCTAAAGCATCATGGTATATGTTTCCTTTTTTTGTACAAAACAAGAAATGAGCCCACATTAGAGACTATTTTAATCACTATTGTGGCACATAGCTTCATCCCGAGTACAAAAGACACAAAACGAAAAAAGACAGGAAAATGAAATCGACGATCTTAAAACAGATCTCTGTTTTGGAAAGGTCTCCGGAAGTAAGGGCGTCATTTTTGTTTCCTCACGTTGAGGTTTGGTGAAAATTAACTCAAACTAAGAGTAAAAATCAGCAAAGTTAACAGAAACAATATCTCTCCCAAGGATAAGCTGCAGCTTTAAAATGTAATGGCCTCCTTCTCTGAGTGACTGTTTCCTTACTGAGTTTTGTTCTCTGAAATCAGAGACTATCAGAAACTTTGCTATTTGAAATTACATCAGTAAGAGTAAAGCATCCTACTTTCCCCTGGCAGATCAAAGTCCTCCACAGAGCAGCAGCCTTGATTTCCAGCGCAGCTTCTGAGCTGCCAGTAAGTTCTGAGCGTAACATTCCACATTCATTTTTGTATTACCAAGGAAAGAGCACTCTGGGCATACTTCAGAGTCCAGATCTGATGTTGACCTCTGCACACAGCCCTACCTTGTATTGAGCCTATCAAAACACTAAACTAAGTTAAACCTAAACTCCATCTTTCCCT